TGCTGTGGGTACGCTCAGGATCGTCTCAACATCCAGCAGTAATCTGCAATCATATTGACATTCCATCTTCCTTGATACCTTTTTTCCATTTCTTTTATGTCTTGATGAAATCGCTCTTCCTGTTCTTCACTGACATCACCAAGATTTGAAGGAAAGTAGTCCATGGGAGTCCTATGGGAGTGGAGAAAATGGATTTTATTGCTCATGTTGCAGTTTAATTTCTGAAAATTGTCCAGCATTGTATCAATGATCGCTTGGTAGTTGGGGTCTTTTTTGTTTCCCAGAACATGTATGACGACTTGTTTGAAGGATACCCATGCTGCTTTTTCTCTGGCATTCATTTGTTGCTCAAAGTTAGCATCCCTCATCAGTTTCCTGATATCAGGTCCAGTAAATACGCCTTCTTTAGTTTCGCCTCGGATAAACCAGGAAACTGCTCACAAAGATATGTAAAACAATTTCCTTCTTTTGGTAATGCCCTCACAAATTGTTTCATTAATCCAAATTTAATGTGCAACGGCGGTAATAATATCCCCTTATTAGGATCTACATATTGCTCTCCCTAACAACATTTTTATCTCCAGCCTGCAAAGTTTTTCTCATTGGCCATTCTTTTTTATCATAGTGTTGTTTTCTATCGCGACTATCCCACTCGCAAAGAAAGTAACGAAACTTTGTGTAGCCACTTTGTTGTCCAAGCAACATGGAAGTGCAGGCAAATGAAGAGTGATGCAGTTTTGAAAGAATTCCTTTAGCTTGTGCTAGTACAGCTCTCCAGTGAAAAATAGAATGTTTATTGCAAAAGCAAAATAATTTTCTGTTTTTATTTAATTTCTTGCAGTATTTATACATCAAATATAAAAAGTATTTAGTAATATTTCTACCGTTCTTGAATTAAAAAGAGCTAATATATTTAAAAAATAAGCAAACTAGCTTATAGTGGCTATGTTTATTTGTAAGAAAACTGTACGTGATGGAATTTTTTTACTATTTTTGCTATAATCAACGTTAAAAATACTACAAAAATCACTGGTAATAATTCAGACAATTTTTCCGTCGCAGACCTGTGTAATAGATCCATGTAGAATGTCGTATAAGTGGGAGGGAGGTTAATCACAGCGACCTTACAGATCTATTGTGTACCCCTTTCTTGAGTTATAACACAACATCATACAGTCCCACGGCTTTGACAAAAGCCAGTATCTCAGACAGTTTTACAGAGGGTAGTTCTTCATCTCCGAGTAAGCATCGCAGGCTCTGTGCAGTGATTAAAATTGACGTCAAAAATGCATATAACAACGCCTCCTGGTAAGTTATATCGAACAATCTGCAAAAGAGGAAAATAATAGATCAATGTCTAATTGATTGAATTGATTTCACTTGCCACTGTTGGAGAAGTTTTGTCCTTGCTAGATTTTTATCCATCCCATGGTATCTATCATACTATTCCTGTATGTGCCAATCAATAGGCTATAACTTTTGTAGCCTCTCAAGATACCGTTCTGTATATGCTGCATGCCCTAATAGACATAATGTGTTGTATTCTGCGTAGTCTTTGCATTAGCTTGCGATTGTTAGTGACTTTATGCCATGCCGGTGCAGCATACAACAGCTGCGATTGTACCACACTAGCAAGTACTCTCCTTTTGGATGCTCTAGCACCTCCTACATTTGGCATGAGTAAGGCTAAAGCAGTGACAGTTTTCTCGGCCTTGGTGATGGTTTTATTAATATGGTCCGCAAAATTCAATTTGGTATATCACACTCCTAGGTATTTCAAAGAATTACTTGGGTAAATTACAGTTCCTAGTTTATAGCATCCTACCTATCAGAGAGAAGAACCTTAATAAAGGCCGAAGGATTACAAAAAACTGTGATGGTAAATGCGGATCAAAGCCACTAGGATCAGGCTTGGGGCCTATGCTCTGGAACATACTCTATGATAAACTACTGAGGATAGAAATGTCAGGTAAAAGAACTTTAGTTACCTTTGCAGACGACCTTGCCATTGTAGCATGTGCAAAAGATGAACCTGTATCAATCCAACTAGTTCTAAACTGGATGGAGAATAATTTGTTAACCGTAGCTTTACATAAAACGAAAGCAGTATTACAGACCAGAAAAAGAAAAATATCCCCGGTGTACTGTAATTTGCCGAAGTAATTCTTTAAAGTACCTAGGAGTGTGACTGAATGCCAAATTGAATTTTGCGGACCAAACCATCACCAAGACCGAGAAACCTGTCACTGGTCATGCCAAATGTAGGAGGTGCTAGAGCATGCAAAAGGAGAGTACTTGCTAGTGTGATACAATCGCAGCTGTTGTATGCTGCACCGGCATGGCATAAAGTCACTAACAATCGCAAGCTAATGCAAAGACTATATACGCAGAATACAACGCATTATGTCTATTAGGGCATGCAGCACATACAAAACGGTATCTAGAGAGGCTACAGGAGTTATAGCTGAAATAGCGCCTATTGATCTGCACATACAGGAATGGTATTATAGATACCATAGGATGGATAAAAATCTAGCAAGGACAAAACTTCTCCAACAGTGGCAAGTGAAATAGAATAACGGAATGGTTCAACTATGGTTAAATAGACAATATGGAGAAGTCGATTACTTCATGAGTCAAGCATTGTCTGGCCATGGGTGTGTTAGAAAATATTTATACGATCGTCGTAGGGTTGGTTAGTTAGTGCATCATGCATCTACTGTGGTTAAGAGAATGATGTTCAACACACACTGTTTGCGTCTGAACGATGGCAGTTTTTTACGGAACAATTCCGTATAGAAACCGGCAGAGACTTTGACTTACCCGCATTTATAATGTACTTAGTTAAAGGGGTAGAACAATGGAAGCTAATATACCGTATAGTCCGAAATATAATAAGTTGTAAAGAGAGGAAAGAGAACAATGAGCATCATGAACTAAATCTATAGACACCGTTTGTACTGTTTAGTTCGTTTCCACTTGGGAAGTAGAACTGTTCTGGTTAGCTTTTCTAGCTAGATCATTTGCTTTCATTTTGCATTACCGTCTACCCCTTGGTGAGCTGGCATCCAGAGTAGGACCCGCATATATTTGATAAGTCTCCGGTTAAGAGACCGGTTTAGGAAATCATATGGTTTCATATGGTATGTCTCTTGGTACGCATGGTTTAGAAACGTGGACCCTAAAAGACCTTACAAGAAAACTGTAATGTTTTTCTGTAAATATATTTTCTTTTTAGAAACTCATCAATCGGCTTAAAATATTGATTAATGAGTCACTAGAAAGTTGTGAAATCAATCAAAAATATTGATATTTTAATACAAATTTTGTGAAAGTGAATCAAATTATCTCCTACGCGTAAAAAACTATTTGTTACACGTAAAAAATAATTTGTTACACTTAAAAAACTATTTTTGACGCGTAATTTTTTTTTAATTTATTGATTTTTTAACATTTCTAACTACACTTTATGTGGTTCATATCCTTCAATTTAATAGCTTTTAGTAAGAAGTCTCACTTCAAATATACGCACATAGTGCACACACAATTTTTTTTCGTTTTATATGTTTTTTAGTGTACACATATAGTACACTGTCTCCGTATTGTGATTAAACTATAAAAATAAAAATACAGTTGATTATGACAAAAAACTAGCATAGAAGCGTAAATAATTTTTGGACCCCAATAAACATTCTTGTAAAAATGTTAAGATTTTGCACACTGTTTCTTCTTGGTTTAGTGGTTAAATAGCAAAATTTTTTCAGAAATGCAGAATTTTCATTAACACACCCTGTAATAAAAACTAGTCTCACCGCCAAACAAAAGAAAGCAGACCAAGGTCGGAACGAAATCAGAAAAAAAATCTTAGATGCACGGGAATCAGACAGTCAGACACTTTTTCAGGAATCCACGAGTCGCCGCGACGGAGGTCAAACGCGAATGGCCAAGTTCCCATGCCTCTTAATAACATTCATTAAATGGTGGATCTATAAACTACAACGAAAAACAATAATGTATACTGCCCTACATAATCTCATATGTATATATAAAATAAATGTTTTCACAATATTTTGGGTTGATATTTTCGAATCATTATGGATCAAGGTTGTATTGGAGGTGTGACTTAAAAGTAACGACGTTAAGTTGGCTTAAAGCGACAGAAATTGTCATATGGCCAACTGTAGCAAACCATTTTTTATTACATATATCTATCAAAATGTGCCAATAATTACTTTACAACAAAGTCAAATATGTACCTATATACAGGGTGCTACAAATTGAGGTACGAGCATTGGTATCTCGGTAAACTGTAATAGATACGAACATGGTTAAATTGGGGTGAAGTTGCGCTTTGGGATGTTCTTCAAGATGCCATCAAAAGTTTTAAAAATTTCAAGGATTGTTGAATTTTTGGAAAAACTGATTTTTTTAAAAATCACTTTATTTTTTCCTGTCGTTACTTAATAATAAAAACAAAATATTAAATTCAAAATATTAAAATTTCGTCAATAATAAAAGGCTAATCCGTTTAAACATTTTAACAGCACAATAATCAAAAATGTTGTCGAAATGTCTCGGTCGGAGGGGTCGGAGGCTTGTCGGACGACGAGATTTAGTTAGCTTAGAGTCTTACTTGGTCTTACTCTTCTTTATTTTGAAAAAGGCGTTTACTGCATTAAGGATGATTTAATATCGATTTTTATTGAGTAGAACTGCAGATCGAAACATTTGAAAAAAAGAATTTTTGGAAATATTTTTTTTTTAATTTTCTTTTACTTTCTATTCTTTTTTCTTGGTTTATATAAGGTATTAATTTTTGACAAATTTTATGTCAATTTCAGTAACTGACGTCTAGAGTTCTATCTCGTCAAAAATAGCATCGATAGTCATTCCTAAGCCGCCTTTTGACGCCGTTTTTTCTCGGTCATACGGTACTTTTTGCAGTTTTTCAATTTCGGTACATTTTTTATTCAACCAGTGTTCTTTCGCCTCTTTTACTTTCATTTGTCCCGATGTATACTTTTGTATCTGTTGTTTTCAGTGGTTTTAGCCTCTCTTCTTGTTCTCATTAATTCGATAATTTCATCGGTCATCCATTCGTTTTTCTTTTTCTCATTCTTACAGCTCAACTCTTTGTTTCCTATTTCAAAAATTGTGTCTTTAATTTTCTCCCATTCGATGTTTATGTCTCCCTTATCTCTACTGTGTGATGTTTGCAACTCTTCTGTAAGTCGTTTTTCAACCCTTGATCTAGTTTCGCTGTTTCTTAATCTTGTGAAGTCCATTTTGGTACTCTTCTTGGACTGTCTGATACGTTTTAGAGTTAGTTTAAATGTTGCAACTACAGGATTATGATCCGATGCCATGTCTGCTCCTGGGTATGTCTTGGCTGAGAGTATGCTATTTCTGTACCGTTTATTAATCATGACATAGTCGATCTGGTTTCTTACTATTTTATCTTTTGTGTCCTGTGGTGATCTCCACGTGTATAATCTTCTTGGTGGTAGTTTGAATAAGGTGTTTGTCACTACTATATCTTTCTCTTGGACAAATTCAACCAGCCTCTCTCCTCTCTCGTTACGCTGTCCTAGTCCGTGCTCTCCAATGACATCCACAACTCCTCTTCTACCGATTTTGGCATTGAAATCTCCCATTACAATTGTCACTTCGTGTTTTTTAATGTTCTTCCATAATTGTTCTATTTGCCCGTAAAATTCATCAATTTCTCTGTCTTCACTTTGTGCCGTTGGGGCGTACACTTGAATAATATTTGTTCGTATCTTTGATGTTTCTAACTGTATCATCATTACTCTCTCTGAGAGGGGTACAAAACCTGTAACGGCTTTATTTGTTTCTTTGTCTACCAAAATTCCAACACCGTTTGGATGCTTTTGTTGATCGTCACTACCAGAGTAGTAAAATGTTCCTCCATCAGTTATGCATTTGCCACTACCGGGCCATCGGACTTCACTAATTCCAAAGATATTAACTTTCAGTCTGTTCATTTCTAGTGCTAAGTTGCACAGTTTGCGAGCCAGGAAAAGGCTTTTAACATTCCACGTTCTAATTTTCAATAGTCCTACAATGCACTTACAATTTGTAAAAATCTAAACGTTTGGCAACAATACTCCGTGTCGTATGAGGTGAATAATCCTGTATAGGGTATCTCACTAAAAAAATCCTCCCAATCCTCTCACAGTTTTTTGAGCAATATTTTCGTGAAATAGGCCCTATAGTACAACTTCAGGTATGTATCCCACAAAGTTTCTCAATTATTTTTATAGGACCTACAGACGACCTACGACGCACTATTGCAGAACCCTGCATAAAAATATTCTAATGTTAATTTACAGTTATTAAGTATATTAATTCGTACATAATATCTAGAATTAATGTATAAACAAATGTAGCAAAACAGATTCTTCAAAATCTTTCCTCATCCACAGCGGCCCCACAGATCGACCGTCCTCATTTTCCTCTAACCCGGAAACCTGCATCAGCCACGGCCTGTCCCCACTCCCCACTCTCCTGCAGCCCTTCCAGCCGCTGCATCCCCAACCGCCGCTTTCCCTTTCTTGGGCGCGCCTTCTCCATTGATATGGATAAAAGTGGAAGGAATCCCCGTTGTCCCAGGTCGGGACCGGCGAAACTTTATGAACTTTATTTTCTGATGGCGTGGTAATAGGTCACACTTTCGGTTTCTTTTGTGCGCTGTCGGAAAGAATAAACCCGGGGGTAAACAGAGAGACCGATACAGAGATGCGAGGTAGGATGTGTTAGGGGATATTACACTGAAAAAATGAATTTGTGAATTTAATAACAATATTGATGGTTATTTCGTTTCCCAGATTATTGTTGTCAATTTACCATCCGTTCTTTAGTTTTACAACTCGTTTGTAAAATCGCTGTATGGCTAATTTGTGGCATGTATGTAAATATGTTATAATATTATATCTTTACATTTCACCAATATTCTTTGTGAATTTATACTTATAAAAAATGTGTCTTCTTCTTCTCTCTCAGCCTGGTTCCATCCAGTGTTGGATTCTGACCTCTTCTAGGTTTTTCCATGCTTCGCGATCTCTAGCCAATCTTATTCATTGTCTTCCCGCCACTGCCCTCACGTCATCGACCCATCTCTTTTTTGATCTGCCCACACTTCTTGTTGTTCCGCTAGGTCTCCATAGGATGCCTTTTTGGGGCCATCGGTCTGGATCTTGTCTTGCCACATGTCCTATCCATTGCCACTTTAGACTTGTCACTCTTTTAACGACATCTATTAATTTTGTTTTTTGACGTATGTGGGTGTTCAGTATTTTTTCCCTGATGGTGACTCCCAACATGATTCTTTCCATGGCTCTTTGTGCTACTCGTAGTTATTCTGCTGTTTTCCGGATAATTGCCATAGTCTCTAAGCCATACGTAAGCACAGGTAGAATGCAGCTGTCGCATGTCGTAAGCCTTTTTCTTTAGGTTGATGGGCACCTTTTTATCTTGAAAACATCGCTCATATTTCCAAATGCTACTCATGCCAAACAGATTCTGCGTTTGATCTCCGTATTCTGGTTCTCCTTACCCAGCTTGGTTTTATGACCTAAATATATATAATGGTCTACGTTTTCAATAATAAAGTTGTCAACGGTAATGTTATGGATATTGTTGCTCATTATCTTGGTCTTCAAGTTCATTTTAAGACCAATTCTCTGGGATTGGTCATTTAGCTCCTTTAGCATGGTGTTCAGTGAATGTCGGTGGTCAGCAAGACAATATCGTCTGCGAACCTAAGATGGCTAAGGTGTACCCGATCGATATTTAGACCTCTATTTTCCCATTCTAATTTCTTAAAGACATTTTCCAGTGCCAGTGTAAATATCTTGGGAGAGATGGTATCTCCTTGTCTCACACCCTTGCCCAGTGGTTTTTTTTCTGTTTTTAGGTCATCATCTAATTTAACTTGGAAGGTTGCACTATCATAGATTTTTAATAATAGAATAATATCTGGAATCAATTCTCGCGTCCTCCATTGCAGCTAGAAATGACCAGGTTTCGATGCTGTCAAAGGCTTTTTGGTAGTTCAAAGGCCAAATGTAGCGGTATATTGTATTCTATTGTTTTTTCAATGACTGTTTTAATTGTTTGTAGATGATCGATGGTACCAAAACCTTTTCGAAAGCCTGTCTGTTCTATTGGCTGATAGGAATCTAGTTTCTTTTCTTAGTTTTTTTTCTAGTAAAAAATGTGTATCTCATAGTAAATTTACTTATTCATTGTAAATGTATCTTTTAAAATCGCCAACTAATATTACTCTGGAGTAACAACAAATTAAAACATTTTATTATATGAATTTTACAATTCTTTTGTAAATTTACAAAGCGTTAGTAAATATTATTAATAAATTTAATAAAAATGTGTCTATAATTATAATATTTATTATAATGGTTAATAAAAAAGTCAAAACAGAACTTATGTATGTAAGATAATAATTGCCATCTCTTCTTGTCTAGAAGAAACTTACTGGAATTCTGAGCCTAACCAAAATAGGAACAAAATTGCCATTAGATACAAAATAAAAACACATGCAAGAAAAAGGTATTTAATCAAAATAGTCAACTTACCAACTTAGAGGCTCTGAATATTATAGAGTTCTCTACTCATGTCCTCTATTAAATTTGTCCTGCGAAACACAGTCTGAAAGAATAAATATATGTTGATATAGAGATGGTACCATGGAACAATTATTATGTTTACACAAAAAATCGCTAAAATTCAAATAACTATAATAAATGGAGATTGTGTTTTCTAAGAGGGCTGGCTTTATATTTACAGAAACAACATATAAACATAATTAATATAATATACTTTTACCCTTAAATTATAAAATATCAATCACCACCCACGCTCTCAGTTCTTGAAACGTCTTCGAAAAAATACGAATCGGCTAATTTTGCCCAATTTTGCACACACCTATTTTCAAATTCTGCACACCCTCCTGCCGAAAGTTATAATTTTGAATACTTAAAATCCCCCCGCCCCCATTCTGCTACGAAATTTTGCATAATTTGCTCATCTTTCGAATTTTGCACGCCTTCCTGATGAAAGATAAGTGCTTTAGCATTTACCTCCGCCTATTAGAAGAGTAAAAAATGTCAAACTATCTTCGGCTGTGCCATACTGTTAAGACAAGTTAAAGATCGCAATAACTAATTTACTAATAGCGTTGCTTGAAAGAATTGAGAAGATACGCAATCTAATGGGCGAATTCGTGACAGGCTGATTGATTTTCCCTTACGCCTATAGTGCTATACGGTGGAGACAATTCAATCGTTCTACGGCCAACGCATAAAAAATTTATTTTCTTTAATTATTATTCGGCCAGTTGAAAAGTATATCGAAGACGGTGTGGAACTGAAAGCGACAGTGTTGCCATATTAAATGTGTAATACCTGTAATACGTTTGACAAAATTATTTTTGGATGAAAATCCGCGTTTATGTATTGAAAATTTATTCGTGTCAAACATAGAATAAACAACAAAAATAGAAATTCTTTTATACATAAGTACTGAATATGAAAGCCATACCTACCATAATATTTTACATATATTTTAATATGAATTAACAGCGATCTTCATTTCAAGCCAACTCTGACGCCGTTCTTGTTTCTTCTTCTTCTTACAGTGCCATACTCTAACAGAGCGTCGGCTACCTCGCATGTACTTGTGATGTGTGTCATCAGTGTTTGAGTACACGGGACCTACAGTTTATTGCCGAATGCGAACGGCACTATTTTGAGAGGCTGTACAAGGCAAATATACTCAAGGTGGTTTGCCATTGCCTTCCTTGAGGTGGCGGCTCATTGGTCGCTCTATTTAGATAAATAAATATTTTTATTTAAATAAATAAACCGACCGTACTGGCTGGGGATCGAACCCAGTACCTTCCGCTGGGCAGATCGACACGCTACCGCTGGAGCTACGACCGGCCACGGTTCTTTGTTTAATCATAATATAATAGTATATTAAATTGTTTAATGATAAAAATCCGTATTATTAACGTACTGAAAATCCGTAAATATACGGATTAATCAGTAGTTCTTGCAACACTATCTCCGGCAACCACTCAGTCTCTCGGACTGGAAAGCAGAACTACGGTATAGTATTCTTAACTTATAGCACAGAATATCTAGCTACGCAACAGAAGCCTCGTTACATGTATAAAATTGTAGGTAGCAAAAGGAGACAGGCTTTAAAAGTCTGTCTCCAAATCAGATATTTTGATGTGGTAGTTTCCTACTTAATAAATAAATTAAAAGAAAACAGTTTTCGCCAAAACAAAATTTAAAAGAATTTGTGCAGTGTTGCCATTGTGTAATTCATATCGTAATACCTACTTCCTGATAAAGCCTACCTTCAAATTTGCTACATCATTTAAACATATTAAAATAGATCAGAGCTGTTTTTTTTCAGTTTGCCATGTTAGTTGGAATTAAAACTTATGAGCTAAATTACAATCACTTCCTGACGTTTAATTGTATAATTGAATCCTGAATTTTCATTGTAATTCGGCGACAAAATAATAAGTATTGTTCTACTATTATACCACTTCCTAACGTTCGATTGTGTTCATACAAGTTCATATATTGTATAATCGGGAAAAAAACGGCGTTAGCGATAGCTGCTATGAAATGAATATCATTGTCATTTTATATGTAAATTTATGGAAATGTCATCGATCGTCCTTTTCCAGCCAACTGGACGCCGTTTTTTTCAGAAGCATATCAAGTAGCGATGGGAACTATCGAATGAATTAGACTATCAAATGGTTAATGAATGAATGATTTCAACTATCGAATGGTTTTATTCGAATAAAATCATTAATTCATTTGTATACTAAAGCATATGGTGTATATTCTGTGCCAGGACTATCGAATGCTTTTTGATAAATGAAATTTGAATTGTTTGATTTTTTGTTTGTATGCGTCAGTGCATTATTAGTTCTTCCAAATTA